GGGGCTATATTTTTCCAAGAACAACTTGCCTCGTTTTAGTTTGACTAAATACTTCAAAGTATAGAATATGACAGCACTCTGAAAACGAGGCACTGCCGACGGAGATAGTGACTGCCAGTTATTTTTAGAAATCTGGCATTGACGTATGTTACAGTTTGTGACGTTATTGTGCAAAAAGGGAAAAACGTGTAATGCTTCAATCTTTTAACATCAGATCTAACATTGTACTAACAAAAGGAAAAAAATTCACTTGCCCGCCGGGCAACTGGACATAAAATTTACTTGTCCGATGGCAGATTTTAGTTGCCCCGGGCAAGCGGACAACCGTTTGTGTTGAGCCCTGTAAGCCAGGAAATAATTCAAATTTGAAACCTGACCCAGTCAAGGATAAGTATTAAAGGCATGGAAAATTTGGTATAGTTATTGACTAAATGATGGAAATTCTTAGTGTATTTTCATGCAATCTCTGTAGCAGCCACCAAGACAATAATTCTCATATTATATTATTCAACAATAATATAACATCGACTTCTACTAGAAAACTTTGACATAAAGATGGTGACCATAAAGTTATCCTTCTTGCATGTCACTTCACAGCTAGGTCATAAAGGTTAACTTATGAAGGACTTTGAATAAGTTTACAGCCAGGACAGTCCATTCACAAAGATTACCTACTTCATTGCAGCTAAGATATGTTTCCGGCTATAAACTGATATACTTCAAAGGTCAAATGTATTCTACTACAAAGTAAGAGGGCACTTGAAGGCAACTGACCAAAACAGAGTTGGTCTATGACTCATCTCAGTATCAGGGTTGTGGACTTTCTTTTGTGTCAATGGTAATTCCGGATGACAGCCATTTATGCTATTCTACTCTAATTCCCCTGCAGATTTGAATTGCTCATTTTTTTAAATGAATAATAGCACTTAACAAAGATCCCCAGGGCAACTTACCTTCCACGTCTTCCTTTAGTTTTTCAATCTCCTTTTTCATCTCTGCTTCTTTAGTGGAATATTCTTTTTCATCTGCCAGTTTCCATGTTTCACGTATAATGCGATCTCGCTGTTCTAATGCTTCATGGCGTTCTTTCCGTGCCACATTTCGCTCGTGTGTTAACATTTCAACGTCTCTGCGTACCTCATCTCTCTCTTTCTGTACTTCAATCTTTGCAGTGACAATATCACCGTATTTGACACGGACATCGTTGCACTCTTTAATAGCTTTGTCACGATCATGTAATGCCGATGTGATCTCATGGCGCAATGTTTCTATTTCATCTCGCAATGTTTTCTTGTCTTTTTCATAAACTTCTCCTTTCTTATTTGCCTCATTAAGTTTATCTTGCAGTTGTTCCATTTCTTTGTGTACCTGCCCTCTTTCAGACATCACTAATCTGTACTCCTCTATGGCTGCATTCCGCTCTTCCGTTAGGCGAGCTATTTCTTTGGTTACTCGCACAACAGATTGGTTTGCCTGTTGTTGGGTCTTGCTTAACTGTTCTCGCAAGTCTTCCACTGTACGCAGCGATTTGTCCCACTGCCTCACAACATCAGTGCATTGTTTTTGAAGTGCTACTCGCTCTTTGATTGCGCGATCTCGCTCATTACATACATCCGTGTATTGTTTCTTAAGTCGCGCATTCTCCTCTTGCACAGATTCTAATTTGTGAATGGCAATATCACGTGTGGACATTAAGTCTGCGTATCGTTTACTAAGGGACTCGTTGTCCTTTCTGATTGCTTCATATTTTTCAATTGCAGTATCATACATGCGTGTGAGAATTTCATTACTACCACTTTCTGAAATGACTTCACGCTGTTGTTTTCTGAGTTCTTCAATTTCGTGTTTATTTTCTTCTCGTGATTCTTGAAGGTCAATCACCTCTTGCTGTAACCGTTGTTTTTCTCCTTGTAATTCACTAATTTCTTGTTTCTGAGCATGCAGCTCAATACGTGTGCCTTCAAGCTTGTCCACTGAGATACGATGCTCATTACGATAGTAATCACTCTCCCTGACGGCCTTGTCACACTTATTCATCGTAATGCTCAACTGAGTCTTCATCGTTTGAAGTTCGTTCATTGCAGTATCACACTGGGTCTTTAACCAATCATAATCTCGCACCAAATGTTTGTCAGTCACATTCTTAGTGTCGCCACTGCCCAGAGAAGCCATTTTGGAATAGGAGTCTAACTGGGACTGTGTCTTCTGCAGTTCCTCTTTCAGGTGGTCCCTATCTTGCACCACTAATTTCAACTCCTGTTTCAGGAGATGAAGGTTGGATTGGTTGAAGTCATAGTCATGGGATGGCGGTCCATTACGCCTGTATGAAGATGACGGATAGGGAGCATCCTGACTACTACTGTCATCCTCTGCAAAGAGAAGGTGGAAATGAATTAAAGATGGTGAATACAATTCTGATTACCAGCTCACGAGTGGCGGATCAATGCATTTCCCACAGGGACATTCACTGCCTCCTGCTGCCAGCAAATGCCAGCTCAATTATGGAAGACACACAAGTCTATGTTCAATAATCCTGATATTTTCCACCCTACTCTATTGGAGCAAGTGTAATCATCTGTGAATCCCCACTTTTTGCTATAAAATCAAGAATATATGACCATTACATCTGACCATTTTTAAATTATCCATTATTGAAGAAACTGTTAGTAAGGTCTTCTATTGATTCTTCTTAAAACAAAATAAATTTT